TAGCCTAGCCTAGCCCAGCATAGCATTGCGCAGCATAACATAGCATAGCATAGCATAGCATAGCATAGCAGAGCAGAGCAGAGCAGAGCAGAGCATTATCAAGCACGCCCGGTGAGCGAATGCAAAAACATGCGTGTGTGTGTGTGTGCGTCTGTGCGCAGGCAAAGCAAAAGTAAAACCAATCAAATAGCAAAAGCAAAAGCAAAGCAACAGCAAAAGAAAAAGCAAAAGCAAAGGCAAAGGCAAAAGCAAAGGCAAGAGCAAAAGCAAAGGCAATGCAAAGCAGAAGCAAAACCAATGCGAACGTGTAGATGTAGATGTAGGTGTAGGTGTAGATGTGGATGCAGGTGTAGATGTAGATGTAGATGTAGGTGCAGATGTAGGTGTAGATGTAGATGTAGATGTGAGTCTCGCTGTTGATGTAGATGTAGATGTAGATGCAGGTGTAGATGTAGATGTAGCTGTAGGTGTAGATGTAGATGTAGGTCTAGATGTATATGTAGGTGTCGATGTAGATGTAGGTGAAGATATAGATGTAGATGTAAAGAACTCCCCAGTGCCCCGCCCTCATCTCCGTGCCTGCTTGCTTTTGCTGCTGTCTCGGCGACTTGCTGCCTGCTTCTGCTGCTGCTTCACTTACGGCGTGGCGTCGGCGGTTCTGGCGCTACTACTACTACTACTACTACTACTACTACTACTACTACTACTACTACTACTACTACTACTACTACTACTACTACTACTACTACTACTACTACTACTACTACTACTACTACTACTACTACTACTACTACTACTACTACTACTACTACTACTACTACTACTACTACTGCTACTACTACTACTGCTACTGCTACTACGACTACTACTACTACTACTACGACCTACTACTACGACTATTACTACTACTTACTACTACATTACTACTACTACGACTACTACTACGACTACTACGCCGACACTACGACGACTTACTTACTATACTACTAATACTACTTACCACTACTCACTTACTTCACTTACTACTACGGACTACCTCACTCACTATACTACTACTATACTACTACTACTAACTACTATACTACTACTGCCTACGACTACTACTACTACTACTACTATACTTACTTACTAACTACGACTACTACTTACTTACTTACTAATACTACTACTTTTTTTTTTTTTTTTAAAACGACCTACGACCTACGACCTACTACCTACTACCTACTACCTACTACCTACTACCTATTACCTACTACTACTACTACTACTACTACTACTACTACTACTACTACTACTACTACTACTACTACTACTACTACTACTACTACTACTACTGCTGTACTACTAATAGCACTCGTACTAACTGTACTGCTGCTACTACACTGCTACTACTACTTACGTTCCTACTATACCTACTGCTACTGCTACGTACTACTACTACTAATACTACTGCTATGCTACTACTACTACTACTACTACTACGACTACGCACTACTACTACTACTATACTACTACTCTAACTACTACTACACACTACTACTACTACTACGACTACGACTACTACTACTACTACTTACTACTACTACTTACTACTACACTGCTACTACTACTACTACTCACTTACTACTACTAATTATACTACTACTGCTATACTACTACTACTTAACTACTACTAAGACTTACTTAGTTACTATATATAATACTATACTACTATACTACGTACTACTACTACCTACTACTATACTACTACCTCACTACTACCGACTACTTACGATTACTACTACTTACTACTACTTACTTACTTACTATTATTACTACCTACTATACTACGTTACTTATACTACTTACTACTACTACCTACTACTAGTACTACTACTAATACTATCGACTACTACGACTACTAGACTACTACGATACTACGAACTACTACGACTACTCGACTACTACGACTTACTACGTACTACTAGGACGACTACGACTACTTACGAATGCTACTACGACTACTACGACTACTTACGACTAGTACGACTACTACGACTTTACTATTACTACGAATACTACGACACTACGACTACTTATTACTATACTACTACTACTACTAATACTACTACTACTACTACTACTACTAGTTACTACTAGTTACTACTAGTACTACTACTACTACTTACTACTACTACTATACTTACTTAACACTACTAATACTACTACACGACTACTACGACACTACGACTTACTACGACTACTACTACTACTACTACTACTACTACTACTACTACTACGACTACGACTACGACTACGACTACGACTACGACTACGACTACGACCTACGACTACGACTACGACTACGACTACGACTACGACTACGACTACGACTACGACTACGACTACGACTACGACTACGACTACGACTACGACTACGACTACGACTACGACTACGACTACGACTACGACTACGACTACGACTACGCCTACGACTACGCCTACGACTACGACTACGACTACGACTACGACTACGACTACGACTACGACTACGACTACGACTACGACTACGACTACGACTACGACTACGACTACGACTACGACTACGACTACGACTACGACTACGACTACGACTACGACTACGAATACGACTACGACTACGACTACGACTACGACTACGACTACGACTACGACTACGACTACTACTACTACTACTGCTACTACTACTACGACTACTACTACGACTACTACTACTACCACTACTACTACTACTACTACTACTACTACTACTACTACTACTACTACTACTACTACTTCTGACTACTACTACTACTACTACTACTACTACTACTACTACTACTACTACTACTACTACTACTACTACTACTACTACTACTACTACTACTACTACTACTACTACTACTTACTACTACTACTACTACTACTACTACTACTACTACTACTACTACTACTACTACTACTACTACTACTACTACTACTACTACTACCGCTAATGGTACAACTAAGACGATCAGGAGAAGGAGGAGGGCGGCGTTTGTTTACCGCTCCTACGAATGTTGCTTTCCGGGAAGCTCCAACTCCTAGGTAGGGTCGCACCGGCATAATAAAAACATTCCCCCTGTAGAGGCACACGCCCGCGTTAGATTCACGCAGGTTCTTCTGATCCGAGCCTCGCGGAGCAGCTCCACGTCGAACACCTCGTGCGCCCTGCGCCGCTGCTGCTCCTTCTCGCTGCCCACGGTGCGCTCGGCCAGCAGCAGCACCGAGGACGCGTCGGGGCTGTCGGGCCACCTGGACAGCCAGGTGCCGCCAGCCGCCTCCACCAGCATGGGCAGCTCGCGCTTCTCGGCAACGGAGGGGAAGCAGTACACCGAGACGCCTGCCTGGAGGAGAAGCCAAAATGCCACAAGCACACAAAAACCTTCCGGGGCCCCGCGCGGAGCTCCGGAAGCTATGCTTCTTATGCAGTTGCTTCTCACTCGACTGCCAGCAGCTTGCCCCCGCTGCGCGACCGCTCCAGCGCTACCGCCAGCGAGTAGCCCCCGCCGATGCCGCGCTTGCGCGCGAACGCGGCCTCGCAGACCTCGTCGCGGAGGATGAAGGCCGCCTCGTCTACGAGGCCCCCCGCCTCCCGACAGGCGTCGAGGTACCCCGGGGTGACGATGTGAGCCCCGCAGCAGATGGCGCACATCATCTTCGTCGTGCGCCGGAAAGTATCCGCCACCAGGTGCGTGATGCCCGGCACCCAGTCGCTGGCGAGCGCCCAGCCCATCTCCCTGATCGTGCGCTTCTGCCTCTTGCTGAGCTCGAGGCCCGTGCTCGAGAAGCAAGGCGCTCCCGGGAGGGGGGGCCTCCAGGGCGGCCGAGAGCGGGGGAGGTGTGGAGGGGAGGAGGAGGACCGGAGTAAACACGGACCGATGCTGCAATACATCCTCCCGTCCCGAGCCCCCTCCTCACAAGCTCCGGATCCGCCACCGTGCTCCCTGGCACCCTGAGGCGTGCTAGATTGACACGTGCTGCCTGGCAGGATTTCGGCAATCTTCCAGGGCCCCCCCCCCTCTCCCCACGCTGCCCTGCCTGCATCGCCCCCTCTTCCGAGGCCACAGTGTCTCGCACATTCGACAGATTCGCACTCCCAAGGGCCAGATGCCTCCAAGACGGCCCAATATGGCTCCAAGACGCTCACTTTGGCATCAAGACGGCTCAAGATGGCCTCAGGACGTTCCACAAGGACTTCGAGACGTTCCACGAGCCCTCCCAAGAGGGCCTCCAGAAGAAAACAAACAAAATAAAATATTTGGTCTTCTTTCGGTTCTTCTGTGTTTGTGGGGCTCTCGCCTTTTCGAGCTAACGTCCAAAGACTGCCCAGAAGGCCCTCAAGAAAAACCAAGACGGCCGAACAGGTCCCCATGAGGACCCCAGAACTGCTCCGAGACAGCCCGAGGGCCGCCCAAGACTGCCGTATGGCGCCTGTAATCTTCTGGGGTCCCCCCCCCCCTCCACCAGCGCTGGCCCGCATGCATCGCCCTGTCCCGAGGCCACAATCCATTGCAAAATGCGACGAATTCCCGAGACCACAAACCCTTTCACAATACGACAATGCGCTCACCCGAGGCCAAGATGCCTCCAAGAAAGCCCAAAAGAACCCCAAGACGGCCTCAGAGCGCCCGAAAAAGCACACGAGGATCCCCAGAGGACCCCAAGACTGCATCACAGGAGGCCAACACAGCCACAAGACGGCCTGAGCGAGTTCCACGAAGGCTCCTCAGCTAGTGAAGACTGAAAACGGAAGGTGTCACATGTGACGGCCTTCCTCTTCCTCCTCTTCCTCCTCCTCCTCCTCGTTCTTCTCCTCCTAATCCTCCTCCTCCGTGGTGACAGAATCATCATCATCATCATCATCATCATCATCATCATCATCATCATCATCATCATCATCATCATCATCATCATCATCATCATCATCATCATCATCATCCCTATCCTCATCTTCAACCCTTCTCCTCCTCATGACGATCATCATCATCATCATCACCACCACCACCACCGCCACCATCACAACCATCCTGAACATCAGCAGCAGCAGCATCATCACCACAACCATCACCATCACCACCACAACCACCGTCACCACCACCACCACCACCACCATCATCATCGTCCTCGTCCTCATCATCAGCATCATCATCAGCAGCATCACCTTCATCAGCATCATCACCATCATCATCATCATCATCATCATCATCATCATCATCATCATCATCCTCATCTTCATCCTCATCATCGTCATCATCATCATCATCATCATTATCATTATCCGAATCACAAGCATCATCAACAACATCAGTATCATCATGTCATCGTAATCCCGATCAGAATCATCATCAGCAGCAGCAGCATCGTCATCATCGTCGTCAGCAGCAGCAACATCATCAGCATCATCAGCATCATCGTCCTCATCATCATCATAATCACAATCAGCATCGTCATCGTCATAGTCATCCTCAACATCATCCTCATCGTCAACCCGATCCTAGTCACCATCCTCATCATCAAATTAACATTACCTTCATCGTCTAAATCAGCACCGTGGTCATCATCGGAATCCGCATCAGCATAAGCATCATCATTACCATCATCATCAGCATCATCATAATCATCATCACCATCGTCGTCATCATCGTCAACAGCATTATCAACATCAGATTCATCATCGTCATCGTCATCATCACCAGCATCATCACCATCGTAATCGGCAGCATCATCATCCTCATCATCATCGTCGTCAGCAGCAGCATCATCATAATCGCAATCATCAGCATCATCACCATCAGCATCATCATCGTCATCATCAACATCATCATCAAAACCATCATCGTCGTCATCGTCATCGTCGTCCTCGTCGTCGTCTTCGACGTGAGCGTGAACGTCATCACCATCGCCATCATCATTACCAGCAACAGCAGCAGCACCAGCATCAGCATCATTATCGTCATCATCATCATCACCATCAGCATCATCAGTTTCATTATCATAATCGTCAGCAGCAGCATCTGCATCATCACCATCACCATCATCATCATCATCACAATCAGCATCATCATATTCATCATCCACATCATCAGCAGCATCAGAGAATCGTCATCATCATCATCATCATCAGCATCATCAGCAGCAGCATCAGCATCACCACCACAACCACAACCACTACCATCATCGTCATCACCATCATCATCATCATCATCATCATCATCATCATCATCATCATCATCATCATCATCATCATCATCATCTTCATCATCATCATACTCATCATCCACGTCATCATCATCATCATCGTCGTCTTCTTCTTCGTATTACTCATCATCATCATCATCATCATCATCATCAGCAGCAGCATCATCATCATCACGGCTCCACCAAGCCTGGGGACACGAGGTGTCACATGTGACAGCCTCCCGTTCCCCCTCAAACAGTCGCCGCCCAGAATGTTGGGCTGGCACGGTGGCGGGATTTGCCGCAGGCAGCTGGACATATTCCACTGTCACAACAAAACCGACCCCAGAAGGGCGAGCACACAATGGTCCTGCCATTCAGACGAAAGCCCATCCGCCCTCAACACTTCGAACTGCAAGGTAAAACGAAGTAGGGACAAAAAAGTCCAGGGATATGTGCAGCGAGAGTCCAAATTTGACCCGCCCTTGTTCACAAAAAACATCCGCGCAGGGGAATGCTGCAAAGTATCATCTTCTGGTCACAGATCCCGAGGAAGTCTCACACGAAGTCTCCCAGAATCCGAGGAAGTCTCCAAAGGACGCCGCCCTCCATTAGTGCAGAGTTGCACGCTTGGAACCGCTGCCCGAAATCATGTCAAACATCTCCGCTCAACTGCTGCAACCTGTAACACTCATGCGCGCGGCCCGAATGGTCAGAGCCACAGCTTGAAAACAGGGCGCCCTGTACCCAAAGCTGAATACGCACTGCGCTGAAGCGAAAGCCGCATTGAAACAAACACCCGCCCTGATCCGTGCAGCCCTCGAAAAGGTCGAGAGCCAACGGCGCAGATCCTGACGGAGCCTCAAGCAGACTGCCCGGCCCGCCCCGCCGACGCGTGCGGCGGTTCGACGAGGGGAAGCTGCTCTGACGACGAGAGAGAAGAGAGGGTGGATGGAGGGAGTCCAGGAAGGAGGGTCAGGCAGCCCGCCTTGGGGGTGGCCCAGCGGCCGCGAAGGCACCAGCACCGGCCCGGGCCTCCGCCACGCCTGCGGGGCGGCCCGGCTCCTCCACGAGCGCCGGAGTGTTTGACTCGGAGGGGTCGGCCGGCGGCGCCTGGGCCTCCTCCTGGCTCGCCGGCGCCTCCGCCTTCACGCTCTTGCGCCGCGGCGCGCCCCGCCGCCCTGTGCTGCAGCCGCCGCCCCGGCGCTTCTGGCCCCTGCCCGCGGGGCGGGCGGCCTCGCCGCCCTCGCCCGCGGCGGCGCTGGCCGCGGCCTCGCCGGCGTCCCCGTGCACAGCGTGCGGCGCAGCAGCCGTGCCCTGGCCGAGCTCAGCGTCTGCTAGCGGCACGGGGCACAGCGCCCACGCGTCGCTCACCCCCTCCGCCGCCGCCGCCGCCGCCGCCTGCTCGGCCTCCACTCGGCGCGGTGGGGCGACGCGCCCCGGGGCTTCCGCCGCACGGCGTCGCTCTGGGGCGGGAGCGGCCACAGGCTCGGGCGCGCCCTGACTCTCTCCCCCCGCGGCCGCGGGCTTCGACGAGGCCCCCCCCGAAGCGGCAGCCGCCGGCTCGCGTTCCTCCTTCGCGCGAGCGCCCGCGGCAGGGCGCCCCCGCTTCCTCCCAGCTGGGGCCGCCGCCGCCGCCTCGGGCGCACCCTGCCTCGTTCCCGCCCAGGCTGCGGGCACCAAGGCCTCGCCCGAAGCGGCACCCGGCGACTCGCGCTCTTCCTCTTTCGCGCAGGCGCCCGCGGGAGGGCGCCCCCTCTTCCTCCCAGCCGTGGTTGCCGCCGACGCCGCCTCGGCCTTCGCCTTTGGCGGCCTTCTTGTCGGGGCCGCTGGCAAGACCGCCGTTGCCAGGGCTGCGGGGAGTGCCGCGGCTACCGCCGCCCCTGGCGGTTCTGTAGCCGAGGCCACCGCCGCCGCCGAGGCCGCAGGCACGGCCGCTGACGCCGGGGCTGCAGAGACAGCCGCAGCCGCCTGCGGGGCCGCCGAAGCCAGTGCCTGCGGTAAGGGGTCTTGGGATCGCAACGGGGTCATGTCGTCGATCGCGGCCTGAGTGCGTCTCCTGCGCTTCGCCCTCGGTGGCCCGGGGGCCTCGGGCTGCGACGAAGGCAGCAGACTTAGCACATCCGCGCCGATGCCGCCAGCAGGCTCGTCGCCAGGCGGCGGAGTGGTGGCCGCCAGCCAGCGCTTCGGCGCAGGAGGCGCCTGGGCCACATGGTCCGCGGCGCAATCGGGGTCCAAAGCCTCAGGGCCGCCCATGCTGGCGGGCAAGGGGCGCTGCCAGCGGCTGGGCGGCGAGTGGCGGACGACTGCAGGCTCGTCGCCGCCAGCCTCGCAGGAGAGCTGCGTAGTGGGCTCGTCCGTTGCTGGCGCCGCGGGCCCCACCGCCGTGATCGCCGTCGAGGCGGCAAGCTCACCGCGCCCCCGCGCCTCTGCAGCGGGCGGCTGGGAGGCTGCATCGTCGGCCCCCTCCGGGTCGACCTGCGTTTCTGCCAGGCCGCCGCGGGCCTGGGATGCACCGCGCGCGGCTCTGCACGGCGGCGAGGGGGAGGCGCTGCAGGCCCCGTGCTGGCGCGACTCTGCGGCGTGCGCGGCTGGGCGCGGCGCTGCCTGCGGCGCGCCGCCGGCGAGGGCCCCGCCGCCGCCGCTCGGTCGCCGGCAGGGCGTCGGAAGACCCGCCGCCAGCGGCAGCAGGGGGCACACGGGCGACTTCGGGGCGCCGTGCGAGGCGCCAGGGCCACCACCCGCGGGGCTGCCAGAGGCGGCAGGGGGCTGCTCTGGGCCGCCTCCTCCTCCTCCTCCTCCTCGGGCTGCGTTCCAGGTGCTCGCCGGGTGGGTCGGGGGCGGCGGGTGACGAGACGCACCGGCGGGCGGGCCGGGCGCGGTGCGGGGCTCCTCCTGCCTCTGGGCCACGCTCCTGGGGTCCTCTGACCAGCTAGGGGGCGGTGAGCGCCGCCGTGCGAGCGGGGAGCCGAACGCGGCGCGTGACTCCTGCAGACCATCCTCGTGTCCCTCAGTTCCCCCCGTGCTATTCGCCGGGTCGCCAGTGGGCAGCGAATGCGGCTCCGCGAAAGCGGCTCGGAACTCCTCCAGGTCGCTGTCCCGCCACTGGCCTCCGCAGTCGGCGCCCGCCGGGTCGCCAGCAGGCGGCGAGCGCCGCTCGGCGCTCGCAGGGGAGTCCGAGGCGACACGGGACTCCTCCACAGCATCTTCCTGCCACTGGCCTCCGCAGTCGGCGCCCGCCGGGTCGCCAGGTGGCGGCGAGCGCCGCTCGGCGCTCGCAGGGGAGTCCGAGGCGACACGGGACTCCTCCACAGCATCTTCCTGCCACTGGCCTCCGCAGTCGGCGCCCGCCGGGTCGCCAGGTGGCGGCGAGCGCCGCTCGGCGCTCGCAGGGGAGTCCGAGGCGACACGGGACTCCTCCACAGCATCTTCCTGCCACTGAGTGCCGCCCGTCGTGGCCGCCACGGCGCCCGGGGACGGCGGGCGCCGCTCCACGCCAGCGGAGGACCCCGCTTCTCCCCTGGGTGGGGCGTCTCGCGCGGGCGCCGCGCCCGCCCGAGGGCCCGTGGGGCTCCCGGCAGGCGCGGAGCACGGCTCGGCGCGGGCCGCCGAGGCGAGCACGGCCGGGGGGCACCCTGGAGCAGCCCGCTGCCGCGCTGCCGTCCCGGCGTCGGCCGGCTCGGCGGGGGAGGGCGGGCCTCGGCCTGCGTCGCAGGGAGGGCCAAAAAGAAGGGGCCCCGGGACACACAAATAGATATACACACACAAATAAAACCATTCCCCATATCTCCCCGTGAATTCTTTGGGGCTTCGTCTTCCCCCCCCCACCTCCCACACTTTCCCATATTTGCTGGGGAATCGACGATGAATTGTGTCTGTGTGTTTTTTCCCTCCTAGCCGAGAGCAGCCCGGGGCCCCTCGTCGGGGGCGCCTCCCTGCGGCCGGGCCGCGCGCGGGGTGCCCGCCGCCGGCTCCGCGCCGCCGGGAGCGCCGAGCGCGGCACGGGGAACCTCTGGGGAGCCCGACTGGCCTCCCGCGGGGCTCCGCCGTGACAGGGATTAGGGGGGCAAAATGCGAGCCCTGCCCCCCTGCCCCCCACGAGTTCTGAGGGGGCGGGTCGGGTCCACTCCGCTCGGGAGCTCCCGAGCGAAGCGAGCCCCGCCCGCCCCCTCAGAACTCGTGGGGGGGGCAGGGGGGCAGGGCTCGCACGTGGCCCGCGGAGGGGCGGGGAGGAGGCTGCGGGAGGCGAGGAGGGCGCGGCAGCCCCGAGGGCCGGCGCTGCGAGAGCAGCGCAGCCTCTCGCGGCAGAGCGCGGCCAGAGCCCCAGGCCCGTTTCTGTCTGCGGCCTGCTGCGAGCCGGAGCGTTCGGTGGTGGTCCCGGGGCCAGAGGGCGGGCGGCAAGCGCCCAGCGCGGGGAGCTCCAGCGGCGACGCCCGAGCCCTGCCCCCGCCAGCCACCGCTCCTCCCGAGCCCATGCGAGGCGGGGCAGGGCAGGAGGCAGCTGCTGGGAGGCCCTCGTCGGGAAGACTCGGAGAGGATGCGGCCCCCTCGGGGGGCCGCTTTGTGCCGGCGGGGGCCCCGGACTCCGCCGGACGAGGCGGGATCGAGCGGGCTGAAGCCGGGCTCCTCCTCCGCCTCCTCCTCCTCCTCCTCCTCCTCCGCCTCCTCCTCCCGCCTCCTCCTCCTCCTCCTCCTCCTCCTCCTCCGCCTCCGCCTCCTCCTCCTCCTCCTCCTCCTCCTCCTCCTCCTCCTCCCCCTCCTCCTCCTCCCCCTCCTCCTCCCTGTCCTACTATGTTGAGCGGGATCAGGCCAGATGGAGCCGGCGCAGGCCGCACGTCGGGCCAGGGCAAAGGCAGCACTCGACCTCCCAGGGGCGTTGCAGCCGGAGGCAGGGCTCGGAGCTCGCCGCGCGCTCGGCGAGCTCCCGAGCCCTGCCCCCGCGCTCCCGCGAGCTCGTCGACGGGCCCCCCCCCCCCGCGCGAGCAGGGGCCGAGCCTCCCGGCATCCCCGCAGGCCGGGCACGAAGGGGCCCAAGAGCACAAGAGAGCGCGCTCCAAGAGCACGAGGCGGACTGCAGTGGGGGCCCGACCACGGGAAGCTTGCCGCGAGAGGCCCAAGCCTGAGACCCTGGGACGTCCATTGATTTTTGATGTGGGAGCGTCACGCTGTCCATAGCAAGACCATCTAAGCCCAGGAAACCCAGGGTACCCTGGAGGCAAGCGGGGTGCTTCGTGGCATGGGTATCCACTGCGATTGAAACCAGACTGCCTCAGCGAGAAATGCTCTGAGAGCATGTGGGAACAACCACGCAGGATGTTCAGAACATTATGTGGTGGGCCTGGTGGCAAGTCAGGACGCTTCGCCACTGCTCGACCCCCCCAGGGCTCTTGCGAATCGACACCGACCGACGCCGAGTCGACGCGAAATCGGCGCTTCCCCATCGGCTGCCGGACGCCAGCGCACGCCAGCGCACTCCGTGAGCGGAATGTGCAGAGGGTGCCACAGGGCCCCCGTGAAGTTCAGGAGCGGAACTCCACACCGACGCTTCTCTTCCCGGCGCCGCACTGAAGCTCGCACAGGAAAGCGGATCCTGGCTCCTACGGGATCCTGGTGTGTATACATGGGGGAGAAGACGTACACCGCACCACCCCGACGCCATCCCCGACCCCCCGCCACTAGTAAGGTATACGCTCCAGTTTCTGGGCACTGCAGCGCAGAAGGCGAAGGGAAACGGTAAGTTCAGGTGCTGTCATGATCAAGACCCGCCAGAAGAAGGCGACCAACGCCGGGAAGCGCGAAATATTTGGTAAATTCTTCACGGTGAAGGCAAAGCTGGCTCAGACCATCGTGCAGGCCTTCCCCGCGAAGGCCCTGCAGGACGAGCTCTGAGCCTGGTCGGCGGTTTGCCGTCCGTGGCCGCCTCGTGGGCGTCTTGGCGTGGCCCCCGAAGGGTCCCATTGTGAAGCCACCCAACCCACCCACCTCCGAGGCGCCCTGCCAGGGCGTCCTGCTCCTGGCGGCGGCTGGGCCACCGCTCGTCGGTGGCGCCCCGGCGCCGACGCCGCGGGCGTGCGGCGGCGACCTGGGAGGAACCAGAGGATACCGATGCAGGGGCGGCTGCGTTCGGCGGTGAGCGAGGGGGGGAAAGGAGAAAGAGAAGGCCGTCTCAAAGGCGGTGGGAATTCTCAGAAGCCCTCGCGCCTTCTGAGAAGTTGTTTCTGTCTTCGGGGAAGGCTCAGGAAACTTCTCAGAAAACTGGGGGACTTCCGAACCTTCTGAGAAGGCCTGCCCCTTTTCACTTCCCCCCCTCGCTCGCCGCCGTTGTGTGGCTGCGTGAGCATCGACCACTCACCAAAGCAGCATGGCTGCCCATGTTGGGCATGGGTCGACAATCCTCTGTCGCTGCATAGTCAATGGTGGGCTAAAGCGGGAAGGGGGGCTGGAAAGGGGCATGCCACTCCTTGACAAAAACCTTGCCCCGATGTGTGGCCGCCGCGACCTCCAAAACTGACCCAGCGATTTTCGGGATTCGCATTTCGCGAAGCGCCCCCGAGGACGACGAGGAGGACGAGGGGGACGAGAAGAGAGGAAAACCAAAGCGTACCGACGCCGCTGCTCCTCGGACCCTTCCGCGGCCAGGACGGAAGGCACGAACCCACACACCCGCCGACGTGATTGTTCCTATTCTGGCGTTTTCCTCGAAGTCGGCCTCCCAGGCCCGTCACTGACGCCAGGCGGAAAAACTGGCTCTCCCGGGGCGCGTCCTGCCTAGGATCTCGAAGCGAACCAGGCCGCGGTTTCCGGGGCCGACCAGGAAGCCCCCCCACACAAGCGAAAACGACGCCAGGGCAGCGGAAACGGTCCTAGAAAAAAAGAGGTTGGCCAGCGAGGGCCCGAAAATGTGTTATTGCGATGTACGTTGTGCAATATACGTGGAGTTAGATACGTTGTGTTGCTGGCGGTGTGCAAAATATGTTGCCAAACCTATGTCGTGCAACCGATGAAGCGCAACCTATGGCGTGCAATGAACACTGTGCGGTATACGAGGTACATCATGCTTGGTGCAATGCAATGTGCATTGTGCAATGTATGTTGTGTGTGATCTACGTTGTGTACACCATGTGGATCGACATGCATAGCGCAACCTATGTGGAGCAAGCGACGTGGTGCCATACATGTTGTGAAATAAATGTTATGCAAGATACGTTGTGCAATATGTGTGGTGTAGTCTATGTGGTGCCGCACGCGTTGTGGAATGCATGTGGAGCAAAATGCGTGGTGCATTTACGTTGTGAAATTGATGATGTTGTACACTATGCGTGGCGCGGATCTATCAAGTACACCCTTTTTTCTCGCACTGAATGTTCAGCTCCGCTGCTCGCGAAATCCCCCCACCCACCCACCCGCACTTTGGTTTGCAAAACCAATGCGGAAGCGATTACGATGACTGCTTGGCGCTGGTTGGCGCATCGGCGCGGCCGCGCTAGCGCGCGAGCGCTCGCGCGCAGCGCGGCCAGATAGTCAGGCACGACCGACATGGACGCGGCGGCGCTGACCGCTGTGCATTTCCCCAACGCGTCTCGCAGCAAGCTGCGCTGACGCGCGGGCGGTTCAGTGCGAGTCGGTGGCTCGAGCGGGCGCGGTATCATCGCGACGTCGACAACGGCAGACGCGATGATGACACTAGCGACGCTGGTGACGACGGTGACGATGACGACGGCAATGACAAGAACGGCGCCGATGCTGATCACGCCGATGACGACGATGGTGTCCACATGTTGGCGATGAAGGTTTTGGAATGAGTCCGACACGCGCGCGCGGCCAACGCGCGCGAGTGGCCCACGTGGAATTATTTGACAGGGATCGCGCCCCCCCCCCCCCCGCCCACCCCCTCCGCACGCGCGCAAGGGCGCCCGAGTGATTCGGCACGCGCGCGCGAGAGCGTTACAAAGCAGATGGTTGACATAAGAATTCGCAAGAGCGCGCGCGAAGACTTGTTTAAAGCGTCTGGTTGGGAAACCATGGTTACGCATTGTATTCAGAAGCAGCGGCTTACAAACAGTTATAAATATAAGACTAAACAAGCATGTAAACATATTACATTACACAAACATACATACATGCATGCATACATACATATGCACGTACATGTGTTTCTAAAGTCGGGAAAATCGATCCTGAAAACCCTGCGAAACCAAGAGTTGCTGAAGAATTCCGGCATGCGCGCACGACGACGCGCGCGCGTGAACTTTGTCAGATGCGTTTGGCCAGGGGTCCTTGAAAACTGACGACGCGCGATGAACGAACGCGAACGAGCGCGCGCGCATAGCACTGCATGACAGGGATGCTGGGGCACCACTGCCGGCCGGGCTGGGACCATACAACTGAGTTAGACAAACGACCAATGATACAAATTTGGAGAATGGATCTGAAATCACACCATCCCAGGGTGAAGCCGATCAAACAGGGGGCAACTAAAATATCATACTGTTGTGGAGTATATGCACGGCAATCTGCGCGGTGCAATCTACGTGGCGCATTGTGCGTTGTACAACACGTGATATGCACTCTACGTTGTGAGATATACGCGGCGCAATCTACGCGGCGCAACCAAAGTTTCGAAATTCACCCATGCTCGCAGCGAGTTGCCAACTCCACCGCGCGCTTACAATCATTCACCCACCCACCCGCAACTTGGTTTGCAAAACCATGCGACGGCGACTGCGATGAACGTTTGGCGTTGGCTGCTGCACCCCTGCGGCCCGCTCTGGCCCGCGCACGCTC